AAAAAAAAAAAGGTTTATTTTCATCCAAGAATCCGAAGGTGATTGCCTGCAGGCAAATATGCTACATTAAAACTGACCAAAAAATGACTGCCAAAGAATTTAAATACAAATTCAGATATATAACAAATGGAACGCAAGAGCCATGCGTTCAAATGTCCTCTTCTCATTCAAAAGATGTCTCATGAAACCCCACCGCCCCCGCCGCGCAGGAAATAGGTCACCGCGCGCGACGAAGGCAGGTAGCTGTGGCAAGGGTGGGGGGTAAACTCATAATCTTCCTTTCCTCGTTGCACATATGAACAAAAAAGTAAAAAAGTGAAAAAAGAAGAACGTTAGCGGTCTGTTCTCAATAAAAGTATAATAGTAACACCTCATTGACTGCAGAAGGAAAATGCCGGAGTTAATGATAAGGTTCCTGATCTGCCTTTCTCTAGACACGTTGAAACAACGAAAAATGCGGACTTGATACTCCTGCAACACACGACACCTCGAGGCAAGAACCTCAAGAACCATTCAATATTCAAAAAATTTATTTTGACAACGTAGTATACACAGGATTGAGCCAGCTTAGCTTCCGGTCACTCGCTGCGTCGCTGCTTTGCGTTGACGAGTCTGACAATTCCACCGAGTCGTACAAGCTTTCATTAGTCAAGATGTGAGACAGACCAGCCACGCCTCTACAAATTTATTCAAAATGAGGGAATACACTTTCGGGCTGCAGGAAGTCTGTTTAGCAACCAATCATTCTACTCATAAGTAGGCCTTTCACAGAAGTTTTGAATTAATTTGAAACATCATGAATACTGAACAGAAAAATGGACGTGGATTCAAAAAAATTTGCCACAAAGCGTTCCGTCAGCCTTGTTGGATCCAAGTCCATCTTTCTGATGCGCCGTGCATCATATTTCCAATCAAAATCACGAAGGCATATGAATGCGTTTCGCCATTACATAAGATTATGGGATCAAACTTCACGCAAGATACTTAAACCAGGCGAAATACAAAGGCAACGAGCGTACAGCAGTAGAATGAGGTTGGGGATGAGCCACAAGTTCGCCTCCCACCAAAAATCAGTAAGGCTCTTGAGACGTGCAACGCAGCTATACCATGACTTTGAAGCAATATAACCACACAGTGTGGAAGAAGCAATATAATCGCCCCGTGCGGAAGAATCTTTGTTAGTCCAGGAAAGAAATTAAATGTCAAAGTCAGCGTTCATCTCGGGACATCCCCAACTATATTTCCATTTCTGGTGTTAGGCTATCAACTTCAAGGACTCGGACATTACCTTTTGCTGGTCCTGCTTACTTCACATGCTACTATTAAATAATTGCTTACAAGTATTTTTCCAAGCAGACCAGGTAGAAAAAAGAAAATAAGTTTGTGAAGAACTCACTGTTTATAACGTGCAAAAAACATAGCGTCATGTATAGTCGGATAGAAATTCGATTTGCTCACTGTTTTGTAAAACCCACTCGCATCAAAAAGTTCTCGTAATGGAGCTGAATAACATAAATTTGCCACAGTTGAACCATCGAACCTGTCTTCCCACTCACCTTTGGGCGCAGCAAACATCACGCAGATTCCCTGCTTTAGCAAATCTGTGTAGGTCTAAAAAAGGAAACAAGGCGTATAACTGGGAAATCCCAAAATTTGGTTCTGTAATAATTAACTCACCTCTTTCAAGCAATTAACACCCATCATGTCAATGTAAACAAAAGCAGAGCAGTCGATAATGAGGAACTTGCCCGGCCGCTGAAATGATTTGAAGTTTTACTGAATATTTGGGAGCACCTCGTAGAGTGACGTCATCGAAAGAAATCTATTTTTGTTCACATGAAAACCATATGTCATATGAACAAAAGAGCTTCCACTTTTCATAGCAAGCAAGAGGATATGTGTTTGTGGATTTCAGTTGTTTCAGATGGTTTTGTTCAAAAGTATAAGTAAGGACAAAGAAGGAAAAAAACATTGATGAATACTCGCAATGAAGGAAATACATAGAGCAAGCAGGTATAGCTGTGACTCAGTGTACTAACGGCGGTAGATGCGAACGTGGTAAGAGCTGTGAGTCAAAAAACGAGGAGCACTCCTATTCCATGAACTTTAGTTATGAAGAAAAGAAGGAAATAAGCAGTACGAAAAGTAGGGTACAGCCAGCTGGCCTTTGCTGGCACACATACGTTGAAACCCCACGGTACCGTCAACTATTTTGTAAATTATGGAAGGTTTTATCAGTGGCCAAAAATAAAACAATAGTCATATTACCATTAGACTAATAAAGTCAATACGGCTAGGTGATTAAAAACTAAATCCAGCTTGGCTAAACGCGAAGAACTATTTGTTAGCGTGTGAACAAATGAAAATTGGTATTTCACTCAAGACGTTCCTTTGAGGGAATCATTCAATCACGTTAATAATAGGAAATGATAAATAAATCAATAGGTAAGTGAAGGAACCATTGTAAACTGAAGTGCTCTTACCTCAGATTGTCGTTCCTTCAACAAAGGTTCCTCTATGAAAAAAGAAATAAATGAATTATCATGTAATAAAAACAAGGACTATCCGACCTTGGACTTTTCCTTCTTGATGAGAGACCCCTTGAAAAGAAATAATAATTCAGTGCTGTGCTACATTCAAAGAAACATTGGCCAGACCTTGGATTCTTCTTTCTTGGCCTCAAAAAAAGGTTACTAAGTCTACCATTGGTGTAAATCTTCCATTCATGTACATCTTCAGAAAAGCATTTAAAAAAAAACCAAGATCAAAGAAGGTTCTGCTTTAGGTGGTCCGCATCCTAGGTACTACGATGCCATAGCGAAAGCTAAATTTTGCATTGAGCAAGATGCTGGAGAAACATAACTAGAAACATTAGTTCTTTTTTGATACAGTCACTACCCATTGCCTGAATTCAAAGCGAGTACTATTCTTTTATATCACACTTCATGCTATCCCTACGCTTACACGCAAATCTAGGAAATCAACAAAAAGAAAAATATAACGCTCAAACCTCACTCTTTTCTTCCTCAGCTGTTGGACCCTTCAAGAAAAGCGGATTACTATTAAACTTATCAAATGACAGAACAAAAGTAAAATATTGAAAAAGGTTATGCGAATTTCAACTAAAAAAGAATCGTGAACTAAAGAAGAAAAATTAGCAAATAGCTCTCTCTATTGTTCAGAGAGTGCCACTTTGAACATAACTGGGGGTAAATTCGAAGGTTGCATAATCACTCTACGAGATTAGCGCTTATTGGCTGCTTTCAGACCTCAACGATTCATCCGTCCGTCCGTCCGTCCGTCCGTTCAGCGCGTGCNNACGGACGGACGGACGGACGGTCGTCGAACTCTGAAAGTAGCCATTGCTTTGACGATATCAACAAAATGACAATATATAACCCTAATATATGACTGATTTCCTGATTTCATAAGTAACTTTGCTTTGCCACGGCGAGGCAAATATTTGGTAATTCAAATCTTGAATAGGAGCAAGCAAATAGATCAGTGAACTGCTTAAATATCAAATATTGATTCTTTCTCAAAGCTATATTGCATACCGTAGACTCCTCTTCATCCAGCAAGGAATTTTCTTTTGCCTCCAGTTCTGAATTGCAAATGGCAGAATCCCAATTACGGGTTATGACGTCCACCATTTCACGGAATTTTTCAACATTCGTGAACAGCAGCGGAGCATCGAAACGTACAACGCACACATTCTGAAAAGCAGACAGGAAATATCAAAACATAACAGGAGATTGAAGTTCAATTGAGCTCTATCAACTTTCATCGGGCGGTGAAATGATCTGAGTCCAAAAAGATTCTCTGGGGCGGCACAGTCTGTTGAGAAAAAAAATTAAATCTGAGGTCATTATTCGAAAAGAGTTTAAGTCCTAGTTCACGGTTATTTCATCGTGCTACGCTCTTGGAAAATTCCACCGATGCACTATAAGCATTGCGTCTTCACCGCTAGGCAACGAAATGCTAATAATCATCGTTCAAATGATGCAAGCTGCCTGTAGGCAACTGTCAAGTGGGTTTTTACTCAAAAATTCGATACCCTTGTGAAGGATGAATTTTTTCTTTGAAAATTAAATATGAAAAATAAATCCTTCCTCTTAACAGAATGAATAGAATCCCTGATGAGAGCGAAATATCTTACCTCCACAAAATTAACTTGTTGGTATCGTTCCACGTCTCTGTACTCGCCAGTACCGGGAATATTCACAAGGATATGCCATCGTGGCCTAGAATAGAAATGAATTTTTGAACACGTACACAGACAAATCAGTCAAGTTTATAAGCATAACAAATACTTACTTCTGTTGTCGGATAAGGGTTGTGAACAGAGCGAATAAAATACCAATAACTAGTCCTTCTACTACATCTATGCAAGCTGTTGCCAAGAATGCTACCACCCAAATAGACTGAAATAAGTTATTCAGAGACGTCAGTTTTTCGATTGAACAGAATGCTTACCCAGTCAATTTTAGAAATTGACCATATCTTCGGTAGTTGTTTGAACTTCGAAAACATATCCGTAAGTGCCACGATTATAATGGAGGCAAGTATACACTTAAATGCAACATACTGATTAATAAATAATTGACAGGTTTTATTCTTCAACAAATAAATTGTATTCAGTATCATATGTAGCGTTTGTCCTATTTTTTTCCAAATTGTTCTGCATGAGGGGGCGAATATAACTACTGAATGGAAAAAAATTCCGGTAAGATTACATTGAGAGATCTCGGAAGCCGTACAGCGTATATTTATTGAATTTTTGATAAACACAAAAGTAAAACTATGAAAGACAAAACGAAAATATGGTCTCGGGTACACACATAGCATTTTTGCTATAGTAAAGATTAACACATTACTCTACTCGTGTTTGTAAGGTGAAAAGAATGCAAGGAAGGGCCTCACAAGCCACATTTCTGTCAATTCAGCCGATTGCATGTCTTTTCATAAAAAGCAAAAACATAACTAGTAGGAATCCAAGTCCCACTAGTTCGGTATATCGGTCAGAGCGGTCGAGCAGTCAACTGTGGAAGTGTATGCAGCAAGAACAAACTCCAAAATCATAAGGGAATAATTAATTCCGTACAACAAGCAACCAACCATAGGGAGTGGTCCAAGAAATGTGCCACCAAACTGTAGAACAACGAAAATGAAGATCGAAGAAAAAACAGCAAACAGCTAAAAGTAATCAAGATATAGTGTGATAAAGAAATCAAAAATTCTACAACGAAATGGAGGAACAATGAAATTTATATGAGAACCAAAAATATAATCCACCTGAGTTCTTGTTCCGGCGGAAGCGTTGACCATAGTTCTAGCCAATGAACATGAACTTGGATAAACAGGGAAAAAGCTGGAAATGGTTGAGGTGAATCCCAAAGCATACAGCTCCTAAAAACGCTAAAGCTGTGATTCAACCGAAATCCCAAATAAGAATGGTCAGGCACAGCTCAGAACTCAAAAAATGGTCATTTCATGAGGTAGTGAGCCATTATTTCTGGGGAATGAGGATGAAAATTCCTATTCTTTTTCTCAGAAATACCCGATTCACTTAGGGAACGATAGACCGAGCCTATTTTGAGATTACTGTAAGAGATAGGGATGCTGACTTTTTGTTCCTGTTATCTACTGCATCATACGGTCCCAGCTTGGTACCTTGGGCTAAACTGAGACAAGCTGGGACCGTATGATGCAGTAGATAGCAGGAACAAAAAGTCAACATCCCTATCTCTTACAGTAATCTCACTATTATTTTACTACAAATTCAAAACTAATAGGTGTTATTGCACGACATTATATGTAGTTATGGCACGAAGCAGTGGGATTACGGTGGAGTGTGAATTAGCCTGACCAACCTCCAGCAGGGGTGTAACCATCAGTTCACAACTCAGCGGCCCATTAGAAATCTTTACCTGTTTACCATCTATAGTGTAGTTGTTCTGTTTAGCCAACAATTTCGCCATTGAAATATGAACTGCAATGGTAACAACTGCAATTGGAATGGCTTCCTTTATAAGTTGTGGTAGGATTGAAAAACGGGGAAGCGATGGTAATGGCAGCCTGCAAATGGTAACTACATGATGCAAAAACATATTCAGTCTGAATGAAAAGTATGAGAGAAGCTGTTACCCAGTAGGTATATCTCCAACAGTTCGGACCATGAACTCTGATTCGAGGTGTAGAAGCCATGATGCAAACGCACCAATTATAACCTGTAATGAGATTCAGAGTAACGGATTTACAAAGAGAAATATTTATGCTATTGACAATATAAACAGCGGGAAACTATAGACAACAAAAAAAATCAATCTGTCTGAATTCTGGAGAAAAAAATTAATTTGGAGTTACGGTCCTATTCGCAGCGTATGAACAGGCAAGCAGTAGAATCAGCTGACTGGCGGGACGGATTTCTCAATTTTCGATTACGCTTCAGTGGCTGCTTTCAGACCTCAACGATTCATCCGTCCTTCCGTCCGTCCGTCCGTTCAGCGCGTGCCGCGACGGCGGCGCCTGACCGTTGTCGACACACTGAATCACTTGCCAGCGCTGTCAACACTACTCTAGCGACCGCCGTCACAGCACGCGCTGAACGGACGGACGGACGGACGGACGGACGGTCGTCGAACTCTGAAAGTAGCCAGTTATTGTGCTTCAATATTGTGCTTTAAAAAAGTTCGCTGAAAGCCGTGCACAATCATAGTGGCTAGTGGTACAATGAAAAGAAGTTGTCAGATACTGACAGCAGTGCGAAATAAAGATTGTTGAAGAAGCTAAAAAGCAAGTTAAGACTGTTGATTTCTTGGTCCGGGGGGGGGGGCAGCAAAGAACGCTCTCACTCCGATACAACGAGTTCAGCTGTAATATTTAAGCTAACCTCAACCCGACCCTTTGCTGAAGCGCGCCACGGCCACGATCCTATCTAAATAAACAGACGGTTCTTCGCGCGCGTACCGCGTACGCGGCTTCGATTAGAGCGCTGTGACTGAGAGTTCGGGAGCTTGGCCGCTGACTGGGAAAGAAATCTCATTTTGTAGGATACTGAAACGTATAAATCTCCAACTAATAATTAAGGTATGAAAGGTTAACAAAACGATCAAAAAAGTGAAAAACTCGCCGCTCAGCGACGATCTCAATCGTTTAATGCAGCTGTTGATATGACTAGTATTTTTCGTTTTGTAAATTACTGGCACGCTTGAATACTGGCCAGCTTATGGATTAATCGTACACAACCGACAGGAACACCGTTGCAAACGCAGATTGTGAAAAGGCCATAGGTTATCGTGCACTTGTATGCTCTCGCTCTGCGAGACATTACCTTACTGATCATTTGCTCTTCCACTTCAACTTTCTGCACAAGGTCCGCATCTTACTCACCCCTGCGCTACTGCCCTTCTTGATCTTAGGCAAAAGCTCCACCCTCTAAGCTAGAATCGTTTTTGTTGAAAGCCGACGATACCGGGGCCTTAGCCTTCTTTGCGCTCCTACCCTGACCATGAGAACGCAAAACTTAGTGGATAGGCCCCATCAGACTTAATTCTCACCAGCTCTTTTGTATGCTGTAGCTATTTCAATGGAAACTGGCAACCCCTTGAAATGTCGAACTTGTAGCGCTCCAATCAAAAAGCGCACACACTACACGCGCGCAGGGAAACGGCTGTACATATAGATGCTCTGCGCAACGACTTCTCGCTCTAGCCATAGAGCGCAGTATCTCCAACAAGATGTAGCAGCATTACGCGTGGGATCTTTCATATTTCCGAGAAAAATAACATCAGTGTGCAAAATACCGCAGATGTTTGTTGTTCCGAACCCTATACAATAGAAACCGCTAGACAAAACAGCTTCCAAAACGATCCACCGTAGGTGTGGGGGCAATTCAAACAAAAAAACTACTCGAAAGTTATCATGCTATTATCCAATACGATCATTTCGTTCTATCTCTGATTAGGACCACCCCTACTCATTAAATAAACACGAGCATCCCCGTCGCGAAGTTTGCGAGTAAGTTAGGTGTTGCACATGAACCTCGGGAAGAGATTCAAGAGCTATATTCAATATGAAATGGTTGTTCATCTATCTAGTGGTTTCGTTGTTTACATGTTTTTATTGTTTATGTAGACACCTCTGCTCTCGTGCATGGCTTCAGTTTTAATAATTTGGAAAGAAAATGAATGAATGATTTTCTTCAGGAAGTTGGCATCGTATAGTTACAGAATAGATAGAGTTATTCGAAGTAAGGGGCGTAAGCGGTGTGAGGGCAAGTGGCGCATTACCAGATACGCATGGTCACGGTTCGAACCTCTGATCGATATCCGCCCAGGCCAACCAAGCTTACCATATCTCCCGGCTTGGTTAATTGGTACCGGACTCTCCCTAGAGAATAGAAACACTGAGTTGCGCATCGGCTGTCCACCGCAAGTCATTGTATAAGCCACCTACCCATACAATAAGCCACTACGATTTGAACGAAAGTTGAATGCGGGGCGCATTCCTCCGAGAGGATTCATCAACGCACCAAAACTTTAATTTTCATTTATTCTTCATTTCAAGGTAATTTAGCTGAAAAACTCACCATGAGCAACTCGAACGGAATCGGAATGGGTGAATGAGCCACAACAAGTGGATTGATCAGTTTTTTGCCAATGTACAGTACTGTCACAGCGATAGTTGACACCAAGATAGTGGTAGGATTTGTCCTGTAGATTTCAACCACGATGTCGTAAACACGCTACAAAAAAATCATTCACTCGTAAACATCTGCCATTGCTACTTAGAGGTAGGTCACACCACGAAAAGCTGAGAAATTTGACAAAACCCAAGGATCTAGGAACGTGGAATCTTTTTGAAATGAAGAGTAGAGTAGAGCTCATATTCCGGGAAGTGAGCTCCGATACAGTCGTCAACTGGGATCACTCCGCGTCATATGGATAAGCCGTTATTGACTCATCGATAACCGCCTTAAAAAGCCATCATGGTACGTTTTCCCAAAATCTCGGACTTTGGCACCAGCGGTGAGCTGCAGGCAATCACAAACTAATATCCAAGCTTGCGAAGCTATGCAGAGTGGCAATAAAGAAGATCTGAAGAAGTGAAGAAGCAGTATTTCTACTGAAGTGGTCCGGATCGACAAGAGAAGCCCGCCGGAGCTTCGCCAATTGCTTGACCGAAACGTTTCCTTTTATCGTCTTGATGGAACTGTTTCAGCATTTTGGAGGGCTACGGAAATAGTCATCTACGATTCTGCTCTGATCTCTTCGACAGCCACACCTGTCGACCTGCCATCTTAGGCAAAACGAACATATCGCTCTTTCGGTTCTCCCTTCCGAAACTCGACATGTCATCACGTCGATAACGAATTGTATGGCGCCCGGTCCCGATAGGATCAAACTAGAACATTTGAAGAGCCTTCCATCAGTCGTCGTCAGAGCTCTGATTGGGTGCGCTTCGTTGCGCGCGTCCTTGAAATTAGGTCACGTCGCAGCCGTCGCATGCGGCGGGTCAGCCCGCGATACTTGACAGACGTCGCAGTTGTCAGTGGGGCATACGGTTTGCGCTTGGTCCACGGCAGTCAGCCAATGAGAAGATAACATGGGCAAATTCAAATCGTTTGCTCCACTCACACTTGATGGTACCGTAACGATTTCGAGACCTCAGTGGAGTGCGCCGGGCGCGAAGTGGACGGGGTGACCTATTTTCGACGGACGCGCGCAACGGACATTCGCCGCTCTGACTAAGCCCTTCCGGTACCTAGCGGAATGCAAAGCGCGACATTGTGGAAAACTAGCAAGATTGTGTTGCTGTAAAAGATGGAAGATCCAGCGCTACTGGCATCACTTCCTTTTTTGTTCCACCAGCGGCTACGCACGCTATTGCGTGCGCTGGGAGCTCTAGCCATAAAGGACGGAGCCACATGAGCTTCTGATTTTCATTATAAACTTTTGTCATTTGAGCCCCTTCCCTAACACTTCTGTAGCGGCCATCATTCCTTTTGGGGTTGTGTGTGGCCATGAAGAGCACTCCGATGTATCTAAATCATATACCTCTGCAGTCCATGTAGTCGAAGAAACTGTGTAGTTTGGCCTGTGTGCGGCCTTGAACAACAACTTTGAAACGTGCCGACTTCGCCCACTTCTGGTATTTGACCACATTTGTTGGAAGAAAAGCTCCTTTGGGTAGTTGCAGGGACTTACACGTTTCCAAAGGTTATGTACCTGTGTGGCCGGGGTTACTGTAGAACTTATTTGATGAGGTCTGAAGTCAATGTAGTGCATTTGCTCTTGTGTAGAAGGGACTCCTGTGTGTGGAACCATGGGTACTAACTTTTAGAAAAATTTAGCCTAATTTTTGAAAGAGTTTAGTGGTATCCCCTAATTGTGAACCTATGTGGTCAGGGTTAGTGTGAAGGAGAGATGTATGAATTTCTGACCTCAGCCCCGCCCTCATCTTTGCAAGCCCCATCCATTTCAACCTTCGAACCAAATTACTTTTATTACCTCCGGACACCTTTTAACGCTTTCTAAAACACATCTGAAAAGACTTAATAATTTCGATGTAAGCTCCGCCCACATTTCGGAACCGCATTTGTGCTACTACATGTTACCACTTTTTTCCCGTAACCCAGAATATTCCTATTTTCTGACCTAAGCCTCGCCCATTTTAGTGCCAACCCCGCCCACTTTAGTGTCAAGCCCGTCCACCTATAGGGATTTGACCACATTTCTTCTTTTACACCTTAACACCTTTTCGCCGCACCCCAGAACGTTTCTGAGCAGAATTATAAATTTTTGATCTAAGCCCCGTCCACTTTACTGCCAACCCCGCCCACTTCAGTGCCCGCCCCACCCACCTATGGGATTTGACCACATTTGCTCTTTTACACCTTACCACCTTTTTGCCGCATCCCGGAACGTTTCTGAGCAGAGTTTTAAATTACTGCCCCGCCCACATTAGTGCCATCCCCGCCCACCTCGGGGATTTGGCAACATTTGTTTTTTTTACACCTTAACACCTT